GGGGGGGGGAAGAAAAGGGAGGGGAATTGTCCAAATGCCTCTCCCTCCCTTCACCTCCTCCTCCCTCAGGAAGCCGTCCTGGGTCCGCCTATGGCCCATATCGACCTTGCACACAGTCTTGATGATGTTACATTACAGGTCACCTAAAAAATCTGAGCTTCCTGTTGAACTTTTTACGTTGCATGAGTTTTTTTTTTATCTTTAAGAGCTGCATCGAGTTTACATATGTCGATGAGTTCGTCTACTGCACGACTGGATGAAGAGCGACGAAAAATCTTGCGTGAAATCGAGGCAAGTTTCATTTTAGTGCTTGAAATTTGAATTATTACTAAAATTTGCTTTGGATAAGCTTTTTTAGGATTAACGGATTGATCTCCTGGTATCTTCTTTTTGACTTAGATCCTTTGCGTGATTTCTCTGGGGAGAAAAAAACAATTTTTGTATGTATTATTTTTTGATTAATTCAGGCGGTAAATCGACTTTTGCTCAGTTTATCACAACTTAGCTTGTTTCTTTGGGGAAAGCAGTACCATTGCAGCCTCGCCAGAAGTTTTGTCTTTTTTCATACCACTTCTGGGTATCTTCTCTTTTCGTGGATAGCAGACTTAAGAGGCTTTACTTTTGCCTCTGTGGAAAATTTTGAAACGTAATTTCATAGAGGACGATTTGCGTTTGAAACGTTGCGCAAAACAGGAATATGTGTTTAGGTGAAAGTGGTGAAATATCAGGATGAATTAGAATCGCAGCGAGCGGAAGATATTCCCGCTCAAGTGGAGAAATATCGTGCATCGCTTCTGAAAAAAATGGAAGAGAAGCTAGACGCACTAGATGAGCAAAAACTAAAAAAACGAAGAGAAAAGTCAAGGAAGCGGTTGGTTTTTTCTCCTCTTCTGACTTTGTTTCACAGTGCTTTTTATGCGTTTTTTTGCAGCTATGCAATGCGGAAAACGCATATTGACGAGAGGTTGTCTGTGTGTGTGTTTGTTTGTGTGTGTGCGTGTGTGTGTCTGTGTTTGCGCGGGGCCTCTGATTTTTCATCTCGAGACCTACAAAAGCTACGGGGCTTGAACTATGGAGACTTAATCTACATGCACGTACGGGCTCCCATCCCCAAAATGGGTGGTCTTACCTGCATGGTACCCATGTAGGAGTCCAACAAAATGTTTTTCGGATAAGTTCATAACTCGGGGATTTGAGAAGCTAGAAAGCTGAAATCTGAGGGCGATGTTCCCCTTCCAAGTGGGTATTAATGAGCTCAAACCCGGCTCCGGGTAGGCGTGGTACCCGCGTGCGGGACTGCCAAAGTTTCTTTTCAGGTTAGGTCGCTAACTCGGGCATCTGAGAAGCTAGAAGATTGAAATTTTGAAGGGATGTTTCCTGACAGTACTGGCGGCCAGTCTGAAATTCTTTTAGCTAGAAGCATCTGCCTGAAAAGCCAGTGCAGTTTGGGACAAAAATCTGCGGGGAGCTATGCAAAAAACGCATTTTTGCATGGGCAGCCCGTGCGTTGGCCAGTTATTTTTTTTCAGGATTAGGTGAGTATTTAAGGAATGCTGTTTCAAGTTAGGGCAAAATTTTTGTTAGAAATGATTGTATTCTTTGCTTGATCAGTCGACTAATTTAGGTCGAGAAGCAGGAAGCGCGATGATAAAAATGGTCGAGAAAAAGATCGAACTAGAAGTGAAGTAGAAAGAAATGAACGGACAACACGTGACAGAGATAAGGTTCGTTCAACTTCCTTTAAAATTTAGCACTGAATAGCAGGATAGAAGGATTGGTCTTAAGTGTCACGTGACAGAGGAAGACTGAAAAGCTTGTCAAAGCTGTGCATGATGTGTAAAAATGCATCTCAGTAAACAGCACTGACTTCAAATCTCCGCATCGAGTTTGCTCGATCTTGATAGTTTTGACAAAATAAATCACTAAATGTAGAACTCTGGAAGTGACAGATTTTTTTTCCAGGAAAAAAGTCGTGAGAAAGGGCGTGAACGTGATAGGTCGAAATCGAAGTAAGTTTTTTTGCGATACTAGAATTTTACTAGAATTTTGAAAAATTTACTAGAATACTAGAATTTTTACTCGAATTTTTGAGAAAAATTTTAAAATTTAGTTTGCTGATGTTTCGATGATCCTCTTCATGTTCATTTTACTTTGGAGGGTTGTGTGTGCAATTTAGGCCGCTGAGGTTATCCTTAGGAGATTTCAGATTCTCTCACCCACTGTTCCTGCTGATCAGTATGGCGGGGTCAATGGACCCAAAAAAAAATATCAGATTTGCAAGCAGGCAATTATGTTTCAGGGAAAGGCGACCAGCGAAACGAGAACGAAGCACGGAAAGAAGGAAACGCTAGCTGTTAAGG